CAGAGTCCAAATTACATCGGTATTGACACTCAACTCGAGCCCAAGGCGGCACAGGCGGCGGTTGGCTTGCGATGCCGTAGCTGAGGTGGGGTAATCGGCGATATCTCTGGGTCACGGAGTTCTAGGCCTAGACCATTGCTTTTTCTTCGGCCCAAGGTTGGAACCTGAGAGCTGGGATGGCACAGGACTACGGCGTAATATTCACTAATCAGAACTGCAGAGTCAGAGAACTTCCCGAGCCTTGTCTTCAAAGCCCCAATGGTCGACGGGCGGGCGGGCGGGCGGACAATTGTTAAGCAGGCGAGATACCGAGAGCGAGCCTTGGTTGCTGAGCGCAATTCGACATCTTAAGCTTCTCGACACACACACACACAACTTGTCTGACTTCACAGCACTCTCATTGTCAACTTAACTTTGGTTGTCAAGGCTATAGCTGCGTACTATTCCACGTAGAACCTTGGACCTACGGCGGGACAATTTACCCGAATCAGAAGGGAAACAGGTCCGTTTACCCCAGAACAAATGCAACGGCATGCTCCTCATCCTGATCCTTCTGGCGGGCCAAGGTTCCTATGAAAAGCTCCCCGACGTTGGAGCCCGCCAACCCTGTGCTTGCGCATGTGCCTGTGCCTGTCAGACAGCTCCCTGGTTCTCTTCTCACAAGCGATCCTTTTCCTCGAGCCAAGTCCGGCATCTATATCACCAAATACTACTGCAGGCCACCATTGGCTCGAACGTCAGACCCTTCGATTGGAGCGACAGGCGGAAGAAGGGTGGGCGGGTACTATGGAATTCAATGCACTGTGGGCAAGGCCGCTTCGCAAGAAACGGGGACTATGAAGCCGGTCCATGTCAACGTTGCAACGGTTGGATGTCAAGGATGTTCTGCAGTACACTAGACGGCGCTCTCTCCCGCCCCTCCAGCACCAGCCTGTGTGCCTGTCTTGTCTTTTTTGGCAACCTTGCTCAACCGAACGCACGGTAGGTTGCGCTAACCTGCCAGTGGCAGCAGAATACCACTATCAAGGCACTCCTGTACAGTACGGATATGGTTGGGAATCTCTCAATTGTTCCTCGTGCTGGTGGTGTTTCTTCTGCCCACTCTCTACTTGACGCAACACTTCGCTACATTGTTTGTGTTTCTTGTGGCAACCTATGTCACCATAGTTCATCGTCCCGCCTGGGGTCTGATATAGAAATGGAAACAATAAGGTTTGTGACGTCTTGTTAAGGCCACAAGGCGGACCAAAAGGTTACTTTAGCGAGAGCCAAGCGAATACAGGCTTATTGCAATTGGCAAGACTGGGAAATGGACCAGTCAACTCTCACCTTGTCGCGCCTCGAGCACGCTCAATAGACAACTCTGAGTATTCAAGGTACCTTACCCATCCTACTGACTCAATTCGATAAAGAATGATGGGCACCACTAGCCTCATCAGCAAATACCTGAAATACAGCGAGATCAGCCATTGTTCGCACGGGTAGCTCTTCATGGCAGTGGACCTCTGGTTTGTCTGTTCGTTCCCCTCTAACCGATATGAACATCTCTCGTTGGCGTCTTGACCAACCTGCCGCCACCTCGATGCTATTCGCTCATCTTGGCCATTGTTGTTGGTCCCACGCCATCACCAACAATTTCTCTCTCTATGCTGATCCTTCCGCATGCTGCTTTGCAGGACATCCAAGAGCTATTACCCTGCGGCCGGGAAATTGGATACATCGTGTTGGAGGGTCGCGTCTCGGGCCAGTTGGATGCCAGAACACCGGGGGCTGTTCTTCATCAAACCACACATGACAGCAACTAGGTTTACAATGCAGCTTACGGATAGCTAGCTAGCTGACTTGCAGCCTCGGCCGAGGATATGAGGGACGAAAAGTCATGCTTACGACTCAGCTATTGTCAACTCATCTGTAGGCTGTAGCTAGCTGTATCGCGGGTTGAACCTTGGCGGTTGCAACGCCGTCATTTCCAGAACGCGAACCCTGGGACGTTGTTGGACTTTGCCGCATTCGTGCATTTCTCCTCTCAAGATTCGTGGCCGGGCAGGTCGGCTAGGACGGCCAATTCCGACGCCGTCATTCGCGAGCTACCGTCAGCAAGTCTATCCGCAGACGCGCCGCTCAACGCAACGCATGTCCGCACAGGTTCCACAACGATCAACCACTCCTGTCAGACTGCATGATCGGTCCGAAGGACGCGGGACAAGGCATAGAAGGCATAGAGATGAAGAACACAATTAACCGTATCTTGAAGGAACACTGAGGTGGCAATTGCCAACTAAGGTACGAGAAGGGGAAACAACCGACCTCAGTCATCTGGCCGAGGCTCTAGTTCCAGACCTCGGACGCAACGAAGAAAAGGTCAGCCAAAAGGCAGACACATATCAATATTGCTTGTGCCGTCGCTGCACGTAGAACAAAATCCGGAATAGGCTGCCCTAACAATGGCCTTGAATGCGGAGAAGGATGGGAATCCCGGGGAACACATGCCTGCAGCATGGTCTTCAAAGTCGTCGTTCAAGGGACCGATCTCCAAGGGCTCGATTGTCGGTTTCTCGACGACGCGCCTATATTCCGGGAGAGGAACGACATCATTTCCTTCTGTCTTCTAGACTCAGGATTGATGTTGGTATTCCGTCGATCAGCCCCAAGGCAGCGTCGCGTTGGTTGCAAATAGCCGCAGCTTCACGCAATTATTATCTTCCCTGATGTCTGTATCCACGAGTAGTGAACGGCTGAATTGGAGGATCACAGAAGCTGCGGCTCACGACGAGGGCCAGCTAGTCTCTTCCCTTCCTTCAGTTTGCGAATGCTGCAATTGCACGGTATATGGTGTATTCTCGACTGAGACTCTGCTGAGGACCGCCGATCAATGGCCGCCGCTTCAGTCCTAACCCCCGCGTACCCTGGAGGACTCGCTGGGATACATGACCCTGCACTGTACCACAGCTAGGCATCGAGCACATCGTTGCAGCAGCATAAGCTAACGACAGATTCGTCAGTCGGTGTGACGGTCCAACTGCTAGCTGCGTGCTGCCGATGCCCTCAAAGAAGTGCTGATCGGCCTTGCGAGTCTGCAAGGTCCCGCGAAGCTTACATGGAAGCCCAAGAGAAGGCCAGATGGCCTGTTTTCGCGGCCTACGCTACGCCGTGCATGCATGAGCATATTGCCAAAATGCCAGTCTCTACCTACTCCATACCTGTATCACCACTGGCAATCGCCGTGAGATACAATAACCCAATCCTCAGCAATTCTGTTGGGCCAGAGGACACCCATCCCACAGTGTGGACGAAGTCTCTAGGTCGAGGCAGCAATCATCGTACAATACTCTGTACGGATACATATCATTACACCAAACTTGGGCCTTTCCAACTTCAGGCACAAACCACCAACAGGTGAACCGAGTGTCACACTTCTCTTCTACTTCCATCTGGGGAGATGCTGGTGAGACGGGTTCGCGTTCACTGCTCTTGATTAGGTAGCTGTCAATTCTGGCAGAGAAGCTTGGACTCTCGACTGGTCGTCTCGTAACCCCAATCTTCCCAAGTCCCAACATGCTTCCAACATCACGCCACAATCACCAGCTCACTTCTCAACACCCATGGCTCATCAGTGCCGTCCGCGGATTACCCAAACGTGACTAATTTTCCTCTGACCGCTGTGTTAGAAAGACGGTCGATCTTATTGCAAAGACTGGAGGTGCTACACTAACACTACGGCGAGGATTCTTCAAGGCAATCGTGTCATCGATCGAGAGTTTCAACCGCATTACGACCGCGCCCCGAGCAGGGGAGATCCCGATAGCTTATCCAGACCGGCGCCGGCTCCTCATGTGCCGTCTGCAGTCCCGGTGTTGATGTGTCCGGCTGCATCCAGTCTGTCGCTTTTGAGTCTTGAACACAATGGAAAGCCAGACTCGGGCCATGCTGCCACTGGATGGCAAGCGGCCCAGCTTTCCAGAAATGGACCGTCGTTTCATCTGCTCTGCCTAGTTGAGCGCCGTGAGGCCTTGTCGGCAAGCAATGCCTCTCCAGAAACAGGCGACCGTTGAAGTGGTATCGCGGATCGAATGATGTTCCCTGTCAAACTCCGCGTTGCTTGGACCCAGAGTTCTGCCCGTGCTTCTAGCAGTCCATATCTGCAATAGCAGTTTTTCTATTATAGCGCTTTTCCTATCGCTTTCTCGTCCGTCTCTCGCAGTTTCCGACACTGTTCATCTGTCACGTTGGAGTTTCATCACGTCGACACATACCAGCCTCCTCTTATACAGACGGCATATATACCGAGTTATCGAGTGCAGATGATGGGGACATCGCCGACGCAGCGTGTAAGCGATGCGACAGCAAACCAAGGTTATCGCCGCGTCCGTCAGAGAGGATCCGGCTCATCGATGCTCCAAACGACCCGGGCATCCTCCGGCCCCCAAAGCCGTCGATCCCGGGAGCGGCATATGGCTTTCGGACGCCCACCTTCGGATGGTCCATCGACGAGCTAGGCACAACCCAGAGGTTCTTTGTCAATCTCCTACAAACCAGCGCGTAACGTTCCCAGAGGCAGTCCTGTCAAACTTTGTCCGCTAACGCTCAGACGGTAGTGATCAGCAGAAAAGATGAAGGAGGTAGTTGTGGGATGGAGAGAAAAGTTTTCTCCGCCGGCGCTCAGACTCGGGTCTGTCGATCCTTGCCCTAGAGTAGCAGTCCTCTACGAATACTTGGGCAACACCACGTCAGTCGTCAGCCAAGGCTAGACCATGAGGTTGAACGTCTGACGCTGGTCGAACCAGCGGCGGCTATTCTTATCTCTCTGGTCTCACTTTCTGCTCTCATGCTACTTCCCCAATGTGTCTGATATCCCGGGCGGTGATAAACCGCCCGATCTGGACCTGACGCCACCAACGTTATTCCCTGTGCTGGCCTATGGATGTTCCCAGAGCAGATCTGATGCGAGAGCGTTTGAATATACGTACTGCATATACACAAACGCGGTGACGACGTCGACGATGGCCTGCAGGGTCATCTTGATATCTGATCTCATTCGATATCACACTTGCTTGGGGTCTGCCTTTGTCGGATACAACCAACGAGATCCCCCTGGCACCCTTGACAGCCCGAACTCTGGCCGTGCGCATCCGGCCCGTTGGTGTTTGGCGAATTGTATGTCTCGGGACGGGCTTGATGCCCAAAACCCGCTCGCAGGCAGACTGACGGACAGACTGGCTGAACGATTCGAGCCCCCCGCACAGACAATGAAGACGACGCCGGTCGTGTCGTTGATGGGGAACCCGAAAAGAGAATGTTGTGTTTGCATGTTGGTGCCGTATTTGCTCGCGCAACTGCCGGCATTCATCGCCGGGGTCGAGGAAAACTATTGGAGCGCGGCGTGGGCGGAACAGTCTTCCCTTCAGGCTTCTACTCCCCTTCACGTCCCCCATGCGAAGGATCGACCTGTTTCGGCCAAATTCGATGGATCGTCCGCCCCAAATTCGGAGGATATTGGCTTGGGATGCGGGAGAAGCCGGGGGGTGAGGGGCCCTTTCTAAGTGGGCAAGCCACCATCGACAGACATGTCCAGGATTGCATCTTCGTGTTCTCTTTTTATCGCGATGGAAATTGGCCCGCAATCTTGTCGATGGGGTTCATCGTCGGCATCAGGACGGGGTCCCTGCTGCTCGCCGCTGAACGGGCCCTTGCCAGTTCAGCCAACAACTCACGAGGCAGACTAGCAGTTGCTGGAGCTTGAAGCTCTCTGTTGCCCGCCGCCACTTCTTCTTGGGGAGCGTCTGACGATACGAGAGAGAGACGTGACTGAAGAACCGCCTGAGCTAGAACAGCTCTTATGAGACGACTTGAGAGGGAATTTCCCGCATAATGTGACTTCCGGTCTGTGGCCCCCCCTCAAGTCTCAACGACGACTGTTGGGCTTTGCTAAGGTACCCGTAGCCTCGTGACTAACGCAAGCCCGCAGCGCCACCCTGCAACTAACAGCCTAAAAAGCTGCTGGACCAAAGTCAAAGTAGACCGCGGGTCCACGGATAGCTGTCAAGTAGGCTGTGTCTGTTCGCCTGTTCCGTGTGCTTTTGAGTCGCGGTACTGGTTCGGTGGTAGGTACTCCGTACGGATATCGCAACCCGCGTTCTTCTTCTTCAGGGATTCCATCGGAGCTGTCCCCGAGATAGCTCGATGGGAATGTCTCACTCTGAGGCAACGCCAATGGCGTCTCGATGAAGGGGGCAAAGTGGTGCCGAGTGATGGGGACTTTGTGACGATCCTGCTCGATATTTGGGCTGTTTCATGACCAGAGAAATTTAGCTACATCTGGCAGGACTTGAAAACTAGGCCGTGGCTTCACATGCTGCGTACGCAGCATCCCACCGAGGTTTTCTTGCGCCGCGAAGAAGCCGAGATAGATGCATGAGCTTCCTTCGTGGATCTTCTTTGGAGAGCGAGAGGGTATTGATTGATCGTGTGCCGCAGTCCACCCCCTGAGGGACATTTCTTGAACTATCTGACTTTGGTTTAGACCGCTTCAACTTACGTCTGCGGTGCTTTGGGGGCCGCTCGTGGAGAAACAGGAAAACACGCTAATGCCGAGCGTTGGCTTACTAGTAGGGTATGTGGTCTGGGAGTCTTGGACTCCTCTGGAGGAGGGAGAGAAGAGATTAGAATCAACCGGTTGACAGTTTGACGCCGGCTCCTTCTCCCCCGTCCGTCCGCCTTAGTTTTGTTTCCCTTCCGATTCTCCGAGGGTTTCTGTTGGTTGGGTTGGCGATGGTGTTCATTACTTACCTACAGTAGTCTTGGTCTCCTTTGCTGGAAACTACTTTAGTGTGGAAATGACGAAATATTCTTGCGCACGACACCCTCAACTGCGAAACCGAACTTGGTGAACCGGAACACCTGATTATTGGCAACGGCTTCCCAAGCTTGCATTGTATAGTGCAAGGTACATTTTGCCTCCCTTTGGTGTGCGTGTGTGTGTTCGGAAGGGCTTTGTTATCTTTTCCTACCTTACTTTGGGTGACTAGGTAAACCGTAAACATCGGATCATCACGGGGAGGACCGGCTGGCTTCGCGGGAACGAGGGAGCGATGGAGAGCTAAGGTGGCTAGAGTCTAGAGGGAAGGCTCGGTGTGCCACTTGTGCCGTTGATTCGGGTTCTAGAGGCTTGTGAGGCGTTCGGTGGTTTGTTAGATAGCGTTGCTAGCCATATAGGAAACTTGCTCATTGCGAATCGCCTATGATAAGTTTCGGTCCAATGTGTGGCGTGATAGAATGGAGAGACGGGAATTAGCTGCATAAGAACCTTCGTGAAGTATAAACGCCCCCCGCCCCCCTTTACATATCGAACATGAAGACGACGGAAAAGGGGTGGAGAGAAGTTCGCGAGATTTTTCTTCGAAAACTTAATCGGCTGTCTGGCTTTAGAAGGATTTGAATTTCCGTTGGGTCCATCACGCCAAGGACGGTGCCCTGTGACAAAAGAAAATCCTTCATGAGAGCTAATGAGACTTTTGGTATTTGGGCCGGCTGTTTGGGTTAGGAGAGGCGAGATGTGGACGACTGGCTGGGTACGAATGGTGTCGAAGATTGGGTGTCCGCCCTCAAGAAGGAATGGCAAGATAAAACACCGATCTTTAGAAAAATTAGTTACTCTTTCCGTCATCCAGACTAAGTCATGCGTAAAGGTTGACGAGGGTACTGACGTGATGATTCGAAGAAAGTGCTCGAGCTGCATGAACCCTGAGTATCCGGAAAGGGGCGAGGACCTACTGATCCATTGGGGAAGGTTTTGCCCTCCTCGATGTCAGACCGAGTTCAAAGCACTGTCAAGAAACAGACTAATTCAGAATATGAAGCTTCTGATGCTTGTGCACACGATGGGAAGCAGTCAGCAGTACAGTCATCCTTCTCTCATAGCAAGCTTAAAAAAGCATATTAAGTTAAGTGGTAGGTAGGCACTATACTGTTTTATCAAAACTATATTCTTGTACTTGTAAATTTCTACTTGTAAATTTCAAAGAATTTTATCCCTCAATAACAAGGTACTCAGATGGTTATGTATTTACATCCAAAGAGATTGTGTTAAGAAATGCTTTATAAGGGTGAGCTGTGATAAGCACCAATAGTCAACCTAGAATGGGGAACCTTCTCATGATGAGCCTCTGAAGGAAGCGCAGGCCAATAAACACTGGTACTTTGTCTACCTCTGAGCGTAGTTTACACAACGCGGCCACAGATGTTGAAGCTTTCATAACGTTGCCATTTTCGGGAGCAGTCGAGGGCCGGCGTCGCTTTCATAGAGCTGGAACGGCCCATCCACGCCCACAGCCGGTGAAATGTGATTGATGAGTGTCCCGTGACCCTTCTATATGGTCGAATAGAATAAGCTAGGTGATGTCCAGATGTACGGCCTTGGCTGTGTGAAGCGCAGCACTTGGAGACGAACAGCGTCAACTATGATAAGCAATACCGGACCAAGTTGTGGTTATGTACTTTTCGCAAAGACAGGATGCTAGAAGTGTATTCACCTCGCTAGTAAAAGGGCAACAATCGTGATGGAATGGGTTAGCTGAGAATGCTTATTCCAGGTGGTGACTCTGGTCCCGTTATAGTTTGTGTGTGAGTCTGCAGGTGTCGATACTTGGTGTAGTTGTAGCGATCCTAATAAGCGTCTTGAGTACACATCACAGACCCAATTCGAATGTCAAGTTACCCTGTCCACCGAGGTTGCCAACGAAGTTTGGGCCATGAGACGTATGCCCTGTCATTGTACTGTGGCTGTTCTTTAGTGTAATTCCACTTGAATGTTAGATCCTAATTATATTGATCCTGCAACTAGCAAAGCTGAGATGTCATGTATTGTCAAAGAAGACTTGAAGCCCTCGACCATGGACCTCGAAAGGTTACACATCTCCAGCTGCCAAGTAATACAAGTCAGAGTAGCGAGTCTTGTTACATCAGAAGAGATTTGTTTATCGCACAATGTGTTCTCGTTGGATTTGACTTTCCAGAAAGTTGAATTTTCGCCCGAACTGTACACAAATAAAATCCTTGGTTCGGAGTTTTCTTACAAATTCCATTCGTTTCCCAGCCCAGTTACAACCCAATGAAACTCCCCAAGCCATGATGTGAAAACAGAGAAGACCCAAAATATCCAGCTTCATTTCCAGAACCAGCTGCCCTTGTCCTCAATACCATCGTCCTCTCGCTGGTCACGGCCCCTGTTTTTGTAGCCGCCGGTCGAGAAGCTCGCCGACCAAGTGTAGTTGGACTGTCTCTCCGTCTGCTTACCAACCTCCTCGCCACTCTCGTTGTAAGTCGTGATAGTCTTGGTGATGTGTACGTTTCCCTTGCCGTCCTCCCGTTCTTGCACCTTCTCGACGACGCGCCATCCTTGGGGTAGACCTTGTGGTGAGAGATCCTTCGTCGAGGAGTAGTTTCTGGGGGTCGGCGCCGTTGATGTGGACGTCTCTCGCGAGGTGTTCAGACGAGCTGACCCCATGACTGAAAAATATGAATCCTCCTCCGTCTCTCCGTGGTCCTGTGGGGGGCGAACTGAGGACTCCTGTGCCGGATTCTCTTCCGTGACAGACCTCCGCCTCTCCTCCGGGGCCGAGTCATTTCGGGAAGATTGTGTCCTTTGGTCTTTGAATGGGTCGTTCTGCTCTTGCAACCACCGTTGCCAACGCTCACTCACGGCCCTGTCCAACACCTCTGGCCTTGGTTCCCATCCATCCCACAGACCTTGGCGAGTGAGCTGGTGAAGCCAAAGCATCGGGGGCAGACCATGAGGGAATGAGTCGCGAACTTCCTTTTTGAAGCGGACACGTTCGTAAATATCCGGCAGATCCTGACCGCTGCTCACCATAAGCAGATCCTCAAACGCATCCTCGAATCCGAACAAGGTCGGGTCCTCCCCGTTGGGAAGGTCCCGAGGCACAGGCTGCGGCATATCATGGAGTCGTAATGGTGAATAGGGCGAATCGATGATGAACGAGAAGCACATGAGCTGGTACAGAGACTCGGTGACCTCTTCGGCCTTGAAGAGGGCTGAGATGGACGACATGGGGCCGAAGAGGTCAAAGACGGTGGGGTGCGGGTGCTGCGTGGATGACACACGGGGCTGTAAGTTGGTGTTGTTGTCGGTGAGTGGCCTTGTGTCCTCAAGCTCTTTTTCACGGGATGGCAGAGGCGGTTCCGGCCATGAGCTGTTGAGACGTGATACGGCCGAAGGAATGCCCAGGAACCGCTGGAAGGCCGATGCAACGTGGTCGTCGACTTTCTGTTTAAAGCGGACGAAGACGTTGTCTGAAGAGTTGCCGTTCGACATGGTTAAGATGAGATGGATTGTCGGGTGTGTTTCGAGGCTATAAGTCAATGACTTTCGCGCGTCTGCGTCTCAGTTGATGAGACGCGTTGTTGAATGGATTCTACTGTTGGTCGTAAACAGTTGGCGAGTTTGCCTTCGGTTGCCAGTCAAAGGCGCGAGGCCTACATAGGAGAAGATGGGATGTTGTTTGCGGAATCAATTGACGGAACAACAGTCGATGAAAATGACGACGTTGTCGACTTAAGATCAGGTCACCCGGCAGTGGCGATCGGGGAACGGCGGGGTCTGCAAGCAGGTATGCAGTTAGTTGATAGGTCGGAGACTCTGAAGTTCCGACAATTTCCCAACAACCTGGGATTGGTGGAGAGCATGGTGACGGCACACGGCGGGAGGAGAAGCCCGGGTCCAAC